TCGATGATCTTGCTTTTGATGATGAATGTGATAGTATGCAACGACATCATTTACCAACGATGACAGATATGCTTATTGCATTTCCTTCACAAAAAGGTAAAGCTTCTTATTCCATTTTATTGATTAAACTAAACAATTTGAATATAGACTACGGCTTTTCGAAAACCACACGTTGGTAGTTGGTATAAAAATGTTCTTGTTGATGTATTAGCACGGCATGCTAAAGATACAGATCTTTGTTCAATGCTCAATATGGTTAACGGTTGTGTATCACGCGAAGTAAAAAATAAAGGAAAAAAACAAACTGCGGAATATAAATCATCATTTACAAAAAAAGGATTTTACTTTTATCCTGGTAGGCGCTTTTGTTTCCATATTTATTTTCGTATTTGATTGCTTATTTATTTCGTTAAGGTTTAACGAGGAATCCAATGGCGCCCATAGATTATTGTATCTGATTGCTATTTCTAATCTTCGTAGTTTTACTTCTTTTCGTTTTTTAGCCATTCATAATTGAAATGATGTAAACAGAATTGGATCAATATCTAGAATGAATAATATTGATCATCAACATGATAGTTCATCAATGAGTTTTGATATAATAAAAGCTTTTTTTTATTGAAAATCTTCTTGGCAAATGGGAAAATCTTGCACGAGAATTTCATATGAATGAGGATGATATTGATATTATTTCTCGAGAAACTGTTTCATTTGTAAGCTAACCATTTCTCTTCAGATCTTGGATAGTGTTGCTGAAACGAGCGATAATAATATACGTCAAATATTATGCTCAAAAATCTTCAACAATGTCGATAAATGTCATATTATTGTAAAAGAAAAAGAATCTTGTTACTTTTATTTTTTATTTTCTTTCTAGATCAACTTCAACATATGATTGTACCATACCATATTACTCAGATGTCCAATAAAGGTGTTCATGCGTTCATAATTGGGTACGTCTACACATTACACGCACGCCACCGATCGATGACACAGAATAGACAAAGAAAAATTATTCGATTGATTTATCTCTTCTCTAGCGAAAGTGAGTTTGATTAGAGAGGACGGCTACACATTAATTGCGGGCAACAAATTAAGTCAATCAATGAAAAATGATCGTAATTTGGAACAAGTGAAATATTATTTTCTCATTTTACCGTAAAACCTCCCCAAGATGAACACTAACGGTACTGCTCAAATAGCATTCGTTAAAGGAGACGTTCAACTTGCGGAGGTTTCACATTGAATGAAATTTTACATGTATACAGTGTATCGTTAGTACCCAGGTCGAGCAATCCGACAGTAGGCACCTATCGGAACCCATCCGATCCGACTGGAATCCAATAGGATTTTATCGGATCCTGTCAGATCTTACAGAATTATCGTTGGATTCCGGGTCGGGGAATCGATTATCGGATCCTCAGTGTCGGATCCCTATGAGTTCCAAGGAAACATCGTTGTATGTCATCGGAAGTTCATAGGATTCCGACACTGAGGATCCGACATCGATTCCTCGACCCGGAATCCAATAGAATTGTATCGGATTATAGGATATTTCCAGGTTCCTATCGGATCCGATGTCGGATCAGTCGACCTGGGTATAGATGAATGGTAACTATGCACCATTTATGTTAAAATCTATTACGATTAATGTCAAATAAAAAAGCATCTATCTCAGATATTTCGCATAATTCTTCAATTATCATATAACAAAGTAAAAAGAATATTTGTTTTTATCTTCAAATTATTAAACATGTATTCAATTTCAAACAAAAACAGTCAAAAAAGTAGTTTTATCTATTATTTGCATCTACTTATTTTTTATGAAAAAAAAAAGTAATCGTTGTTTGTTTCACTCCCGTCGAGCCGATGAAAAGTTGGATAGGTTGTGAATCCAATGGCGAAAAAAGTCAATGTAATTGTGATTATTCTCTTATACATAATCGATTAACTCATCGCGGCCTATTCATTTTCATTGTTCAGAGTTGGGGGATGTTCATCTTGCGGAGATTCATTTACAGCAAAAATCGATCGGGAGGACTGAAACATCTGTTCAAACCGGAGGTGTTCATTAATAGAGGTTGTACTGTATTTTGCCCAGCTCTACTTTATCTTTTTCATGGCATTCCTGTGGTCATTATAAAGTCTATTTTGTTCTTTTTTCAAATTTCTGCAATCTCGTGAGCGTTTATACCGTTTGATGTTCTACTATATAAAATAAAATTGGCCATGGTAACTCGAAAAAAGATGTTTATATTGTTTGACTACAGATCAACAATAATTATGACAGATTATGTTGATCAACTTCAATAAACTATGAATCCCAAAAGGCAAGAGATATAAATGCAATAGATAGTTTCAAATAATTATTATCGTTTTCAACACGACGAACACTTTTCATACACATATTCATAAGTTGACCACTATTTTTGAAATCATATTCGTTTAAATATGAATTTATTGTAGGCGGTCATGATGTATCTAGATAGGGATAAACAAGGAGTTTTGCCCATTCAATACTAACTATATATAGAGCTTCTCCATAATGAATATAATGCAGTGTTTTCACAGTGTTTACTGCAAAAAAAATGTGTTGTAGAAGTCAGTTATTAACATTTTGATGAAAGTGTGACATATGTCAAACAGTTCTCACTAACAACAAGAAAAGCTAAATTTTGATGATTAATCTCCAGAAGCGCAGTCAATATTTCAACAGTCTAGTATGATGAAGAATTCTAGGGCAATATTTACTCTGTGTTTAGTTTCAACGAATAAGAAAACATACATGAGCATTTCATTTTTCCAGCCGTTATATGATCCATCCTAGTAAATAAGAAGGACTTATATTCTTTTTAAATTGACATTGATTATATTTTGCTTAATAAGCTCAAGTCTTTTAAATTGTATTTTTACATGTAATACAATATCAAGCAAAAATGTGATCCCTATCACTTATGAAAATACAATAATAAATAATACCATATATAAAAGTGTACTATAGTCATCATTTTCATACAAAATTTCTAATAAGAGTCCATGAATACCAGCAGATTGCTGTGGTGATTCCAGGAGACGTTCTTTAGAGAGTGCTTGAACATTTTTGTTTTCTACTTATTAATTGACTAAATATACTGATTAATTAAAATAAACTATGGATCGATTGCTCGATAGTCTGTTGACTAATTAACCTTCTGAGTTGTTTAATGGGGAAAATAAACATTTGAATAGTTATTGTGCGCGATGCTATTGTGATATTTTTATTTTAGTTTTAGTAAATTCGGATAAGTACGTTGGCAGAAAAGCATGATTATCTTTACAAGGATTTGCGTATAATTTAGGTTGTAATATTACTCAGAGATGGGTAAGTCAGCGTTTTTTCGACTCAAGTTAAGTCATAATTCATTCAAAAAATCATCAGGTGAAATCATTTTTTGACTTCACTTGCCCATCTCTGATATTACTAATCAAGCGCGTTTTTCTCAGTGGTTGTTGTCCACTTTGTAGTAATTTCTTTAAAGAGGTACTTGAAGAAAAAAAATTTCCCGATATTAATCATAAAATGACCTGATCATAATGAGTGAATGAAAATAATGATGTAAAAAAACAACGAATAAGTTGGCAGTCAGCTCCAAATTTGAATATACTTTACTTCGTATACATCTTAAACAGATGTATCTAAAATGTTTTGAAAAAATAAAGTCAGGATTTAATGATGAAAATATTATATCAATTTGATAAAATAATCATTTTGAAAACAGGAAGTTCTTGATGAAGTTAATTTGATTTCATTCTAAATCTACAAATGTAGCTATTAGATGTTTTGTCGGCAAAATTATATTCTTCTCTTATTTTCGCGTTTTGTATGATTGATTTTATCTTACGCTTTTCCGTCAGATTATTGACGAGTTTTTTTTTCCTTCAGGGTGTGTCTCTGGCAAGATGCCTTATAGATTGGCTCTTTCAAATTCATGACCTATACGACTTGTCTTCATCTGGAATTTATACTTTTTCTGTCATGCCGTATCTAGCTTTTTTAGTCACTGTAAATGTTGACTTGTGCGCATCTATACAGACTTCAATAATGAATCATATAAAAATCTCAAAAACTTCACTATAATTTTGAAATCACTTTTATTTATATTAATATAAAGTGTAGATAGGTGCTGCAATCTATGTTAACCCTTATCTCATTGATTGTGACATCTTTTTCACGATGAGAAAATTTATTACTGATATTTTTTGCTAGTTCAAAGTAACCTTTGCAAGTACCTAACTAGAATCGATTCTGCTCCAATAGATTGTTAGCAAACTATTGAATTTAAACGTGGTCAAGTGTGTTCTCCCCAAATATTAGCAATTATAGTGTTTGTGGTATCCTGCATTCAAATTTTAATTGCAAAGAGTTTAGTACAGGAGCAAAGTTTGAGATTAAGATGGGTTTGGAAGATCAATTTAGATACAATGTGCAGTTTATAGCTGTTCGAGAGGTAGAAACATATCTTCGTAAGCTGATAGAATCTACATCGAATTGTAAAAGTTCTATATTCGAGAAAAACAAATCTAACAGTTTTACGGTTACATTTTTTGCTCTTTATGTACGTGATCGAAAATAATAAGAAATGTTTTTTCATCAGTGTGATGAGATCGCTTCGGATACTCTTCTAAATTTGTTTTAGGCCCATTTCATAGGGAGAACGACTTAAGCAGAAAATGATAGCGTAAGCAAGATCAATCCAGTGTTAGAGACTCTGGGCTATGTGATAGTTCTACAAGTTGTTGTCTCGTCTATCAACTTTTATCACATTATTTAAGTAATGCATATCGAAGACTTGTAACATAAAATGAAACGAAATAACGATAATTCTCCTAGATTGTTTTAAATCAGTCGTATCAACATTTTTTGAGCAATCAAGCAGACAAACAATGCAATGAATCAGATGACTTTTTGTTTTTTTCTTGTAAACATGTACGTTCATATTTTTTCCTGATCATTCTATGCTATGTAAAAAAAACTAAGTGTTTTCACAAGTTTTTCTTCCTCAGGCGATAATGTTTCTATTATTATAATAACACATTCTTTTCTATTTTGCGTTTTCAATCTTTATGATATAGTATTACAGACTAAAAGGAACCGTCGAAAATACACGTTATTTTCTTTATCTCTCTCATTATGCATATATATGTTACAGGGGAGATTGAAATTCAGGGCTATTTAAAATAGTCCTTAGGGGAAATTGGAATTTTAATCTCCCCTAGGACAAATTAAAATTTTGTTTTTTCCGGGCTCAATTTATGAGAAAAAGTAAAGGTTTTGATTTCAAAACGTACTGCATTCATATCCACACTAATACTAGCACCCATACACGCACCTACACCCACACCCTCATGTTCACGTTACATACATACCCACAAATAAAATAAGTGTCTTTTGCGCGAATTCAGGTATTTGGAAAAGACT